TTCACGTAATAGTTATGAAAATTAGGTACTTTTTATTGAATTTCTCGTTCTCTTCTTACTTTCAAAAAATGTAATGATTACCAATGATCGTTTTAACTTTTTCTTTTTTTTTCTTTTTGTTCTTCAACTGTTGTTGTCGTGTAAATTTATTCGCCCACCTTAACCATTCGTTTGCTTGTGCCAACAGCATACAAACACATTTATAGAAGTGAAAATTATATTTCAAGTTCTTCACGTTGAGAGATTTTCATTTAACCTTGTTTTTTCTCTTCTTACATCCATACTAACAATGAAATAAACTACAATGTACATTAAGAAAAGAGGCCTTTTCAAACTTCTATTGCTGTATATTCCTTCTAGTAATGTATGAACCTGTTTTCTTTAAATTCAAATGTAAAAAAAATCAAACTACAACAATAGTTCATGCTGCAGAGGTAAAAATACATTTCTTCGTCATAAAAACAATATTTTTCTTCTATTGTACTCGATATATGATGTTAGATTTATTAGCATTGAAAAATATGTAATAAACTAATTTTAATCAGAAGAACCTTATAATGTTTGTACAACATGACCTTTTACTCACAAATTTCATGAACTGTTTTTTTCCTCTTAATATGAGTATGATGTTTGTATATAAAAAACACTTCGTTACCTAGGAAGCTGTTTAAAGTACATGTACATTTATTATTTTGTTTTTAGCAAAACGTTTTTTTTGTCTTTTATTACCAATGAAACAGAATATTTATTCAATATATTCGTCATGATTAGTAAATAAATAGAAAGAATTAAGTTCAATATACTTGTCAAATAAGATTAATTGTCAATATTTGAATGCTATAAGAATCTATACATGTATTGAAATGATCATTGAAATTGTTCTAACAATAAATAGTTCATCAATAGAATCTATCAATATATTTACATTAAGTAAATATTTTATTGCTGGTACCTAAGAACATAGCAACAATACTTGAAAATTTCTTTCAATTGATTGTTAATAGTGAATTGTAAAAGAAGTAAAATAGTTTAGTTACTTTAAAGTTATCGATTACGATTAATGAATTTTTATCGAACTGTAACGATTCTGTAGATTGTAGTAGAACTACATAATTTTTTGTATTTTGTAGTATGATAAGGGTGATTAATAGACACGAATTTCAATCTTTAACTTCATCTAGATGGATCTAATCATTTTTCTATTCCAATACCCAATAATAAAATAGCTGCAAGAAGAAAAAATAATACGAAAGCAACATAACTAGCAATCATAAATCCAAAAGCACCCGAAAAAATTGTCGATAAACAATAAGTTGGTAGTTTAGTATCTGTATATTGTACTAATTTATAATTTCCATATATACGACTATTTATAAGCACAACGAATACAATTGCACACGCAGCAAATATACACATAATCGAACCTAAATAAGAAAATAATACAAGACTTAACAAAAATAAAAATTATTTACCAATAAGAAGTTGCATTGCTCCATTACTTCCTTTTGCACTCACTTGTGCTGCTGTTAATTTCTTATCTGTTTTATATTGTGCTGGAGTTATTGTATAAACGAAAGCAATAGCAGCAGCAAAGAAAATTGCTTGAAATACACCACCCATAGACATTAATAACATAAGATCTTTTTGAAATGGACATAATGTCGTTGATTCTAGATAATAAAATCCAAATGATAATTGAGCAATTGGTATAATAATTATAGTCATAATCAAACAAATAGTTAGAATTTTTCTACCCAACATATTATTATTATTCTGTTTTCGTAGTCTTTCTCTAGCTGATAGAACTAAAAGTGTTATTGATAAAACCTGTTGCCATTCTTGTTTTTTCCTTTTTATTTATATATTTTTCTTTCAAATAACATAGATATTATGGCGCAGAAGGAAAAAAAATTTAAGATAATAAATTGAAAACGAAAATTGGTTAAAATTAAAAAAAACACTGAATGTCCCATCACCAAAAATATGAGAAAAAAAAAGAAAGATATAAATTTGAAAATATTTTATTCGTCTTCAACAAATTTATCAATTTCAACAGCATTTTCTCCAATCGCTCCTTCATTAGTATCACCCGATGCTATTAATGTTTCTTCAGCACTGAATGTTCCAATATCAGCGTAATTTACACGTGGTGCAGTCATTTGTTCAGGATATAACCATGGTTTATATTGTGGTCGATGTTTACCCTTCCATTTCTCGTATTTACCACATGCTTTAGCTAATCTTTTCATTAGCTATATAAAATAAATATTTGAAAAATAAAACTAGAAGAAAATAATCATCATACTTTAGGTACTAAAACTTTCGATGTTTTATTTACTACCCAAGCTGGTAAACTACCTAATGAAAACAAAAAAAAAATATTATTCTTATCGTTTCAAAAACTAAACAAACCTCCAGGATCACATTGTGTCATATAATAAAATGTGCATGATTTTTCGTTCTTTGGGACCATTAAAAAGCCAGTTAAATAGGATATTCCACGTACAAAATTCTTTTTTGGTGGGTGTGACTAAAGATAAATATATATATATATATATATTATATGAAAAGGAAAGATGGAAATAATTTACAAGATGATTAACCGAATGATTGATAATATATTTTTCTTTATTACGTCCAAAATCTAACCAACAACGTTGAGTGACAAAATCACGATTTTTAAATGGTGGCGGACTTTTAACTA